GCCAGCCATGCTGGCTGAGGAATTCTGGGAGGTGAAGTCCACACATCTTAAAGTTCTTGCTCTTTCCAGCTTCCCTGCCCCCCCCCCCCTTAGTGTGGCCACTAAGATTCTCAGTTCTCCTTAGGCTGTTTTCAGGGGTTTCTCTCCGCTCTTATTCCTCTTTTTCGTAAAAAATGTTTTCTACTTTTGCAAAAGTTGAATTTGGTCCAAGCTGGGTAATACGTTCTTTTTGGGTATGGATGGCAGCATTTTGGCAATTTAAAAGGTGCTTCCAGGCCCCACGGGTACACTGGGTTCACCCACTGTTTTAGGACATTATTTGCTTAACCCTGGTTTATTCAATAAACCACAACTTGCTGGGTTCCCGCAAAGACTGACAAACTACAATGATTGTGTTTGCATAATATGCTAAGCCAAAGTCAAATAAACTCCATTTTGACATACTGGGCTCACCTGCTTCATTTGCAGAATTTTAAGAAGTGCCTAAGGACCTTCGCCTTTTATTTTTAACATGTTTTCCTAGCAATTCTTATATATTTTTCTTATCACAGAAAATCCATTGGGAATGGGGAGAAAGGCTAACAAGCATGTTTGCAGAAGGAGTCAAAAAGTCAAAATGGTAGTCACATTTTGTCTGTTGTGTCAGAAAAGTCAAGATGGCAGTTGTGACTACCATTTTGACTTTTCTGACACAACAGACAGAACTGTGTGGCTACCCTTGAGGATTACCTATATGATGTAGCTTGACTGATGGAATATCTCTGTGATCCTTCTTATATAGAGACAATCTTGCCATTTCTACAGAGATAGTTTAAGACTGCTAGAGTCTTAAGCTGTTGAAACAATACTTCCCATCTCTGTCTAAAAGAAAAAAAGCATGATTAGGCTTGCTTGCTAATGGAAATTAATAACAACAAGAATATGAAAAGATGCAAACTCAAAATGAACAGAAATAGCAGTAAAGTTTTCAAAGTGGGAGGCCTCTCAGAATTTATGAATAAGAGAAGTTGATGACAGTCATGTAGGAGGGCACTGCTCAATAAGCATCTGAAACCCATTAGAATCACCCAAACCAGCCTTATCATTATTTTTCATGAGGCAAATATGCCAGCCTCTGAGAAAATGTACTTCCCCATGTATAGAAGTATCTGAGTGGGAGACATGTCCACAAACCAGGGCTGGGCAACATGAAAGCTGTCTGGGTCACCATCATCTGAAAGGTACAAGATAGCCATTTCGGTGGAGTCTGGGAATGCTATGTACAGTATGTGTATTGTAGCTGGTGTTGTCCCAAGGCAGTGTCCTGCTGGAGGCGAAGAACAAGACTGAGACATGTACAGACACTGGCAGTTCAGTTGCAGCAATGGGATACATCTGAGGGCAGTGGGTTGCTTATGGGAAAACTGCTTTCAGCACCTTGTTGCTTCTGTCCATCCCTGTAGCAACTACAACCTAAAGTGGCAGCCTTGTTTTGTTTCACCGAAGGGCTTACTCAGAAAGATAGCACTAAAATGCAGCAGCTACGAAGTGCGGGAGTGTCCTCAGTCAGAGATGTTTGTTCTCTTCATATCAGGGGTAGGAACTCAAGGGAGGCTGGGAGGTCACCAAGCCTGGCTCTCCATTGAAACGTTGGGCATGGGTGAGAGATCATGGTCCTTGTTCTCCTGTCCATCACCAGGTCACAGGCTGCCATTTTCTGAGTAGCAGTGGCCCAACCCAGAGGAATGCTCTTACCACCTGGGCCCAATCTCTCACAACCACCATTCCAGCGAGTTGCAGTGCCTCCTTCCTGAACAGGCCCTTGGGTTGAAAATGACCAAGTCTGGGTCCCTAGCTGGTCCAGCAATTATTGTACCTGCTTCTTTCCAGATGATTCCACATTATGGGACATCTTAGTCACCTGGCTATGCAAAGACCCTTCAGAATGACATATTTATTTATTTATTTTTATTTATTTTTATTTATTTGATTTGTCCCCGCCCATCTCCCCACAATGGGGGACTCTGGGTGGCTAGCAACAAAGTAAAATCAGAAATACATTTAAAAGTTATAAAAACCAAACATTACAAAAATAAAAAAGCTAAAAAATATTCATGGAAGAGTTTGCGCCAGGGGGTAGGAAGCAGGAAAAGGGAGTCAGTGGCATGTTCTCCTACAACCAGTAGCTGGCACAGCATTATCAGCTCCTATCAGAATTCAATCAATAACTCCAGAAAAGAACAAAGTTGTTGAGAGTCTGGCAGCATACAAGTTTAATATCTTCTTGTTGTTATATACTGCAACTATAACACATACTGAGTAATTTCTATATTATTGCAACACTTCTCTGCCTAAAACCCTGCTTCTGGATCTAAGCAAACCCTTAGCTCAGGATTTTTCAATATGGGCAACTTTAAGAGGTGTGGACTTCAACTCCCAGAATTCCCCAGCCAGCATATGCTAGCTGGGGAATTCTGGGAGCTGAAGTCCACACCTTCCACCTCTTAAAGTTGCCCAGGTTGAGAAAGACTGCCTTAGCTCCTCTCCAGTAAAAGGGGTTGTCAGCACAATAAAGTCCATTCAAGCAAGAATGAGAAAGGAAACAACTGTGCTACAAAGCAGGAAAGCAGAAAGTATCTATTTTTTCCCTTATATTTTACAGTGCCATACTGCAATCTTATTTTCTTTCATGAGGATGAAAAACATATTCCACAATATTCACTGACATGCTGATGAATTCTGTTAGCAACTTGACTACTGTATCTCTGTGCGGCAAAAATTCAGAGGACCGCTAGAGGACAGTAAGGAGATACAGAAACTAAATTTTTGCTACCCTCTAATGTAGCAGTTCTCAAACATTTTGGCCTCAGGACTCTTTTACATTCTTTAAAATGATCGAGGACCCAAAGAGCTTCGGATGATGTGGGTTATATATTGATATTTACTGTATTAGAAATTAACACTGAGAAATTTTAAAATATTTATTTATTTGACTTTGTGGACCTCCTGAAAGGGTCTCAGGGATATCCAGATCACATTTTGAAAACCACTGCTCTAGTGTAACTTGGAGTTTTGCAGTCCAAAGGTGAAAGCCTCCTGTGGACAAGGCCAAGCGCTATTTTGGTTGCAGCTTCTGAAGTCCAGGAAGACAAAACCTTGCTTTCAGAACTACGATCTAAATTTTGCCATGCTGATGAGAGAGAAAAGAAGTGGTTTTTTTGTCTGAAATCCCACAGCTTTCAGCCCCAGTTATGTACGAATGATGTCCACTCTATTTTTCTATCCCAAATTGGTCCACTAACTCTTCTGTCTCTCCAAAATCTCTGAAATTTTTGTTTGGCTATTTCATCATAACATCCAACTCTATGTCTGTATTCACATAATGCACAAAGCTTGGTTATTTTAACCCCAAATAGCGTTTTGTGGTTTTCTGTGTTGTGTAAAGGAAGTGTGGTATGTTCAGCTCTCTGGCCCTGCATACCTAGACAGCTAGATTTACCAAGTCATGCTTCAGTTAATTGGGAACCCAGGTTAACAACACAATTCCTGTGTCCCCGTAACATGCCGCACACAAACAATTAAACTGTATTTTGGCTTAATAATGATGGCCTGGTTCACAACAACAAGACCACAGTTAGGTGTGAACTCCCCAATCCCATTTTTATCCTAGTCTAGATGTTATGTGAAGGCAGCCATTATATCAAAGACAGAAATTCTGAATTTTCTTTCAAAGACCTTGAAACTTCTCATTCTCCACTCAAAATCTTCATCTCCCTAGACAATTTCCTTATGAATGACAGTGTTACCTTGTGTGTACCATCATACACTTTGGCTTTATTTTATCACCTGCCAGTTTACAAGAGCACAAAAATTCAGTTCTTCCTCTTTATTACCCTTGCATTTACCTAAGTCTACATTTCACAGCCCTATGCTGTACTTAAGTAATCTCATGCTTAAGTTTTCTCAGACTTCCCTGCACTTGTCTGCCATCCTCTCCTCTTAATTTCTATCTATTTGGCACCCTGCTGCCAAATCACTTGTTTTTCCACTAATCGGAAGCATGATCAGAAGTGGGCCTTCTCTGTCGGGGGTGCCTGTCCTCTGAAACATCATCCCCCCCCAGAGATCCATGTAGCTCCCACCCTGGTGATGTTCCAAAAGGCACTGAAATCTTGGCTGTATTTCCAGCCTTGGAGTACGGTGATCGATGAACCTCTATAAGTTTTGGTTTATTTGTTTGTTCACACATCATCTACCTCTTCACATTATTGTTCTCTTCTTATAAGTAAACCTCCCAGAATTGTTTGGAGTCAGCCAGCCTCTAAAGTCATGTAAATACATTTTTAAAAATCCTCAAATTCATATAAAAGCACAAATTCATTCTTACCGCTAATTCCCCACCATCACCACCACTGCCTCACATCTCCCCAATCTCTCTGCACTTACATCTGATCTTTGAAACAAGCGTATCTGCAAGGTATGGTAAAAAAAATTCAAGATGACAGCTGCAATGGTGTGATGATGGTGTCATGGCACAGCTCCAATTGCACCAGTGTGGTTGCCATCTTGACTCTTTTGACTGTGTCTTATGAACACCCGTTTCGAATGATGGTTCCACTACCTGCTATTGTCTAAAGACCTCACAAGGTTGCAATTGCCTTCTAGAACTCTTACTCCACTTCTCACTATTTTGTTTCCTAATTCCTTTTGCAATCCACATGTTTCGCTAAGCCTCTGCCCACAGCCCCTGACTTCTCTTCCTATCCTACCTTTCTTCAAGGGCAGAAGCAGCAACATTCATATTGCTCACTCCCCCAGTTTTCCACATAACAAGGCCCCTGTGAGGGCTGGGAGAGAGTAACTAGCTGACACTCAGGAAGCTTCCAGCTCATATTTCTCTGGAATGTGTTAACATCAATTAAAACACATTGCAGAAAGTAAAACAGTTAAAAACCAACAGAAAAACAGAACCACCACCAAGCTAAAAATCAGCAGCTCAGCCAGCAACTAAAAATCCAAGCTAATGTTATGTTATTACAGTACACGAAAGAGTCTACCAAGAAGAAAAAAAAAAGGTAGATCTTTCGGTTACAAGTCCCTCGGTTTGTTGCTGCAACAGACCACAAAAAGGTCTGGAAAGAAATTTAACCCCGGTTCAGAATGTTGCCAGAAGGGGACTCTGTTGAGGCTTCACCCTGCGTATTTCCCAGAATTTTATGTGGGGTCCAAACCACATTACCTTTCATTAGGACCTCTCCTGGATTTCCCACTACTGCCTTCTGTTTGTTTTTCTGCCCGAAAAAGAAAACCGAGGAGGGAAAGAGGAAAAGGCTATCGATAGGCTATGAACCCGAGGAGCCGTCCGTCTGGAGTTCTCCGGAAAAGCATAATAAACGGTGTAGCTCGCAACCCGCCAGAAAAATCCTTTTCTTGTTTGCTTTCTTGGTTTGGGGTTTTTTTGTTGTTTTGGGAACAGCAGTTCCATACAGCCAGCTCCGGTTAGAAGACCAAAATAAAAGCGCACGCTTCGAGGGTGATCTCAAAAGGAATTAAAAAAAAAAATTATGAAGTGAGGAGGCAGAACGGCGGGGAATAGTGTTCCAAGATTCCATCAGCGTGATCATGATATTACGATTGCTATTATTATTATTATTATTACTACTACTATTATTATTACCATTATTGGTTATATTATTCCGTCGTCCAAGCAGGTGCCTGGAGACAGCCACTTTTCAAAGACTCTTCCGCTTCAAACCTTGGCTGTGTAACCGGATCTGAAACACGTGAAAATTAAAAACCCGAGGCTGGTGGGGGTGGGGGACGGGAGAGAGGGGCGCGCTGATTGTCTGGACGTAGAAGGGGTTAATGGACTGCCGCCCACGTGGGAAAGAAGGAAGAGGAGGAGGCGCCTTCCTGCTCCGCCTTTGGGTTGGGGGGAGACGTTTGGGGTTGCAATACCCCCCCAGCAGCCGCATCTGGTGCAAGGGGGCGGGAGGGAAGACCGGCTCTCCCCGCAAAGGGTGAGTTACAGAGGCGGGGCCTCCCCCTTTTTCAAAAAACCAGGGGGGGGAGGGGGGGGGGGGGGGG